AATAAGACGCAAACACATTTTTATCTAGCAGTATATATTAATTTAAATACAAATTATGGAGTGACACTATAAAATATCTGACCCTGTGTTTTCCCAAAAATTTGATTTGGAATCACTGCATCAGGACTAAGGAAACAAACTGTATATAAATGTTCGCAAAAAAAGGCAAAAAAAAGAGTTTGGAAAGTAAAATTTCCAACCATAAGTTAATCAACAGGACATCTTCATTCAATTTAGTAAACTGTGTTGAATTCAGGAACTATTAAATTAAGAATTACAAAAATTTTAAATATTATCTTAAAAAGAATATTTAAAATTGCCTGATGGATCGGAAACTCTGATATTCATAAACATCTTTTATTGAAATCAGTACCAAGTGCAGTAAGATTACTACGTCTAAATTATTCAACAAAACAAATACTTATCCTAACAAATCTTTAGCTCCGCTTAGAAGAATTCAAGCCATGGAGGAAATATTTACCAATATTCTTTCTGTCATTCTTTAAACAAAAAAGAGTTTTAACAATAAAAGTGTTGTAGATTACCAGATTTTCCCAGTGTTGATTAGTTGATCTAAGCGCAGCTAGAAGAAGAAGTAAAGGTGCTACCTTTAAGCAACTCCATTAAATTACAATTCACAACTTAGATACTTTAAAAACTTTAATTTTAAAACCACTTCTATGCTTTTCCACTCTAGAGGGTTAAATTGGGTTAAAAATAATTTAAAAATTTTTTTAAAAAAGTGTTAATCTTGACGTCAAGGCTATGTCAATTGCAATCTTAAGTGTTGTAGAATACGAGTATTTATGAAGTGCTTCTATAAAAACAATATTAAAAATTAAATTTGATGGTTTCTTAAGAAAACAATTGGTTGCATTTGTTCATTATTGAATTGGCTGAATTGGTTGAATTGTAGATTTAATGGCAGATATGACCTAAAAATTGAATAAGTAATTTTGCAGAAAAAAAAGTAATGTGATGGTTTCTTTCACAATTAAAAACTTCTTAATGATGTTGCACTTTGAGCTACAAAACATATACAAAACATCTAACCATTGTTATGAAGTTGTTGTTTATATTTTTATATAAATAAATAAATTAAAAAAATTTTAATCAAGCTGAACACTTATTAGGTATTTCTAAATATTGCTAATAATTTTTTTCCTTTTTATTTAACATTTGTTGCATAGAAATTACATTTTGTTTGGTATTTTCCAACACAACTAATCAGTTCGTACTAAAATGTAATTAATTTATCGGTTTTATCTCTGCCACAAATATTTCCAACAACATCAATCACTGTTGTTGCAACAACTGCAGTCAGTTTATCAGTGACTTGCCTTAGCGCAATCTAATCACTTTGCCACTTTGCCACTTGCAAACTGTGTGTGATTAACACTTCAATTCTGGCTTTATCAGTAGCCACTTGCAACCAACTTCAATGCATTTACGCGATTGCTGCAACATTCGCCAAGTTAATTGTGGTCTTAGCCACATACATTTTTTTTCAATGCTTTTTGTTGGATAATTGGATAAAAGTATTTTTTATGTTGGATAAGTGTATCTTTTAGAAAAAAAACTTTTTCGACTTATGGAGTTACTGCAAATAAAACTTTTGAAAGAAAAATATGTTTATATGCAGTTGTGTATGCACTTAACTTTACTACGCTTATGTACTATACACTAATTCAATTTAATCTAAATCAATATAAATATATCAATTGCATGTCTAGCTTATAAATGCAATATTGGAAAATAGAGCGAGCCTTTAAGGTCGATCATTTACTTGTGTACTTCTGCCTAATTACCATAGGCTGCAAAAACATAATATTTGGGAATACATCTAAGCAGTAATCTAACCCGGAGAACACACATATTCAAAAAGCGCAACGCTATGGGTCTCAAGCTGCGAAACTTATTTTGGATTCTCAGTCGAAATTCCAAACTGTCATTAGATAATAAGCTACTAATATACAAAACTGTACTAAAACATATATGGAGTTACGGAGCTCAATTATAAAGTACCACAGAAAACTCAAACCTGGCAATTATCCAACGGTTACAATCTAAAATACTACGCCTGATCACATATGGACGTTGGTATATAACAAAAGAACAGTTGCATAAACAACTACGTATTCCGACAATCAAGGAAGAAATATATTGAATTACAAAGAACTATGCTCATTGTAAATATATGCACCCAAACCCACTGGTAATACACCTAATGTCATCTTCCAACACGTTTACAAGGGTGAGAAGAAAAACCACAGAAGACGTCTTAGAAATAAAGTTTATATTTGAAGTCACTTAATATAGATAAGTCACTTAACATAATACAGTACATATGCAACTTTCTATTCAGATCGTAGTAAATGCTAAAAAATACTAAATAAAAATTATTGCATGTAATAGGAAGGATTACTACTGTTCGAGTAAAAAAATTCAATCAATTAAAAATAAATAAAAATTTTGTTACAATTCATTACTGTTCAAAACCTCTCTACCAAAAATCCTTGTAACCGAACTGTAAAAAAGATCACATTTTTAATACTTAATTTATTAGCAATGCGAAGCACTACCTTTATTAGAAGAGGTCGTAAAGAGTTTGATATAATAATATACGTAGATTTTTTTCAAAGGAGGTTGGAATAGTTTAAAGTCGAAAAAGATATTTTTTAGTGAATAATTGTAATATTTCAACAATCAAAATCTTCTTGTTTTTATTTCTATATCTGTTTGTAGGAACTATGATAATATATGGTCAAGGTTTCTGATTTTTGGTAGACTTAAAATCCGAGAAATATATTTTTTAGTGATCAATTTTAGTATATCAACAATCAAAATCTTTTTATTTTTAATTATATATCTGTTCATAGATATCATGACAAAGTATTGAAAAATCGTTTTTAAAAGGTAGGCAGGTTATTTTCTATAAAGAAAATTCTTAAAGAACTGAATATTTTAGGTAGGCAAAATTAAATGCTTCTAAAACTTTACAAACAATCTTTTATTCAACACTTTATTATTAATCATTGGAATATTAAGAACTTTGTATATATTTATGGTTTTTTCCAGATGTACTCACATTTTTTACTTAATTATATATTCCCAGGTCTGCTCACATTCGGTATTAAAATTTATATAAGTAAAATTCGTGGTATAACTTCTTAAATAAAAACTTTAAGATAACACTCAACTGCGTCAGGTAGCAGAGTTCCTATTAGAGTGATTTTATATATACCTAAGCTTAGAACCTTGTACCCTCATATAACCAAGTTAAGCAGCACTTCCTACAAATATGCCATTGACCAAACTAAAAATTTTACTAAGGCTTTAGTGGAATAGAATCTAAAATGACGTTGCACCACTCGAATATAGTTATATAGTATATATAATATAGTACAAAAAAAAATAACATTTATTTAATTTAACTTCATTTTATTCCTATTCATGATATTTGAACTATCATATGTAATTTATATGTTATATATGGTATACTATATGTTATACACAATTAAATATCGTTTTTTATATGATATTACTGAACCCAATCAGTAGACAATTTTGTCCGAAATACAACGGTAACATTCGTGAAAGGTATGGACTAATAGCAAATTTTGATGGAAAATTGTTGCAAGTACTAACAGGATGACAAGGCATGGACTAGTAATTAGAAGAATAGTAAATTATAAAAACCATTAACATACGTAGTTCAGAAATTGTCTTGTATTATAACAAATGTTAAATATATTTCTACATAATATGATAATTTTGATTTTTATTAATAATTTTAAGTTCATTATTGATTGAAAATTTTGTTAAACAAATTCAAATGTAATATAAATAATTTTATAAAGTGCTAGCATATAGCAAATTATGCATTCAAAAAACATTATTATTTAATAAAATGTATTTAATTAGACGATCTTGATTGGAATTGTTGTTTAGAACATTAAGAATCGTGTTAATGTAATTTTTATACCAACAGATGTGGATATGAATTCAGACAACCCAGTGAAGGAATTATGAAATTACAGTATTACGGTATGGTTTCTTACCACTAATTATAATTAACGTACTAATAAAACACTGTATAATAATCTGTCGCGTTGCCCGGTAAGATCCACATTTTAACGGCTAATAACCCACTCTCTTAATGTCGTTTCTTTTGCAGGACAGACTGTCACTGGTAATACTTACTAATAAATAATACTTTTTATTCTTAATAGTGAATATAAGAATAAAAAGTATTTGTGTGAAAGGGTTTTTATTATTATCGCCAATCATTTCAAAATGGTGTCCTATGACAAAAGCGCTTGTTAGAAGAAGCACTTCTAATAGAATTACTACCGAAATTCAAATTAAAAACCACAAAGGCGTTAATGTTTAATTTTAATTGACATATCGTAAATATAAATAGCCATGAAAATTGAGTAAATCCTCTATCCATGGTATATTAGTTCAGTTGTACATTTTTTAACTACATCATTACCAGAGCAAGCTGCATATTGCAGGCATTCATCATGGAAGTGTCATAATTTGCAAAATGGGTTGGTTGGTCTATTGACACAACAAGCTGGCTCGCTTGTCTATCATAGTTAATTTATTATTGAAATTCATGAGTTTTAACCATTTGTTCGGTCGTCAAAGTGTCAAATTAAAAAAAAAATGTTAACTTATAATACATAGATACATATAAAAATACTCAATAAAACGAAATTCATATTTGCATTTCGTAGTACTCGTAATTTTGTTTGATTTCAAAGTTATTGTGACATATGCTGTATTAAATCACTTTTTCTTTGTTTAAGTACATACGTGCAACTATTATGTGAAATAAGCATAATTAAGAATTATTTACAGTTAAAACTTAAAATAAGTTAAATTTTTTTATATATTTGAATATGAATATTAATATTTTAATATTTTATATAATAAATACACAAAGTTTTAAATACATAAAGTATTATAATCATTTTACTATAGGCTTTACTTACTTTTCCATATCTTTCGAATCGTTTGGATTTCTGCTTATAATATTTGTTTCAATAGGATCTTCGGTTACATGTGGCAAGTCATTATAACTTTTAGAAGGTAAAATAGGTGGATAACCTCTACGCACTGGTACAAGTGGTGGCGGTGCAGAAGTTGTTAGTAATGTTCTGCGTGTAATTGGCATAGTAGTTGTTGTACTAGTGGTTGGCGTCATTGGTGGCAAGTAATCATAACCCCGTCTTGGATTTGGTGCTGCCCATTCAGGGCTGGTGCCCGCATTATTGCTTATAAATTCTACATCGTGCATATTATCATCACCTTTACCAGCACTTTTTCCTACTGGTGACGTATCAAACGTATTAGTGAGCACATTGTATGTATTGTAACCCCATTCGGTAGGAATGTTTCTATGCACATTCTGTCTTCTCTGCACAACTCGATTATAATAATCCCTTGCAGTAAGAGGTCTTATTCTTGTACTATTCAAAACTCGTGGCTGTGCTTCTTTCGGATCTATAAGATCGATTTGTTCATTTAGTTCTTGTGTTTTAGTTAAACGTTCACTAATATGTTCACGTCTTCGATGTTCTTTATGATGTATTCGATGATGTTGTCGACGATGATGTTGTTGTGGTTTTTGTGTGGTTGTGATATCACTGGATTCTGTTAGTGCACTGAGAACTGTGATGCAAAATAGTGTTGAGAAAAGTAGTGTTTGAAGTAATCTCGTCATTTTTGTTAATTTTATTATTTAATGAAGTTTTGTTCTAATTAAATTGAACACAGGTGGTACACAGGTGATTAGTTCTGTAAAGAAAAAATATAAAATTGATTTAATTATTTTATTTACTTCAATTTATAAATAAATTTTAATGAAATTATACTGCATGAAACTAATTTACTTTTGAATATTATAAAATAATAGCAGTACTTTCTGATACAAAATGGATGAGAAATAATTGATTTCATATAAAGTTCAAATTTATCTTGAACTTTCAGTCTGCATTTCAAGTTAAATTACTTGCCATAAGATTTAACTTCGCATAATATGGATGTATGATTCAGTTAGAAATTCATTTAAGATGTGAAATGATGAAATAATCATAAATTTATTTAAGCTTTATTTCGGTTTTATCTTGATTTATATGCACAATTCCCACAATGTATTATTTCATTTATTTTCGAGTGAGTTATAGGCACCACACACGTTGACAGTTTCTTCAAATGAAAAAAAAATATATATACATCTCATCTTAGAAATCAAAGTAAACGATCTTGTTGAAAGTTTTGCATAATTCTGGCTAAGAAACTCCTTAGTTTTCTGGCTTTTTTCTATTGAAAACGAATTTAATATTTTGTGGTCTTTTGATCTTTTTCGTACCTTTGTCTACCACTTGACAAGGTCGTACGATAAATATATGAATGTGATATATTTTATAATAAATTTTCTTGGAATCAAATCCATTTCATTTCTGTGTTTAATTTATAGTTTGGTCAACATTTAATTTACGTATTTAATGTCCGAATTTTTAATTTATTAGCAATCCTTTAACGTGAATTTATCAATATTTAAACTACAAAATTATGGGCTTGGCTCGTGCTACTTAAGAATTAATAGATTATAAGGAAATCGAAAGCTACGGTAGCCAAGATAAAATTTTTATTACTTTAGGTAATATCGTTTTTAAGAATTAATTTAATCATTTAAAATACTTGATATTTTAACATATATCCAGTGTATTGACACATGCGAGTTTTATAAGAAAAAAAAATATTAGTGGTCGTTTGCTTAAATGTTATTAATTAGATGATAAAATAAATAGCATTGAGTTCATTATTAATTAATTAACTCGACTACCGAGTTACTGATATATCGTAAAATTAAATTAGTTAAATTAAGTAAATTTGTTGTAAGTTATACATATTTGTAGTCCTATATGTAGTAGTCCTATAATTAAAATTAAAAAAATATTTAAAATAATCAAATAAAATAAATAGGATCTATTAAATATGTATATTATGAGACTGCAAATGATCATTTAAATAAGAATTTTTTTATAGACACAAATACTACACAAATCTTGTTAATGGGATGAAAATCTTATTGAAAGTAAGAAATAAATAAAAAACTGACTGCTTTTGTTTCAAGCATTTCATTTATTGGAAGATTGAAACTATTGAACTACCTAAAAATTGGTATATATACTAGGGCGATTTGATAAGTCAGTGACTTTTTGAATTTCCCGCGCAGTTACTCCAAATGCAACAGTGCTGCCGTCAGCTGTAATCTATTAGTGGGCAACTTTCTAATTTTGAGTAAGCTACGACCTTAAGTTGGTGTTTGATAGACGTTGTGTGAATTCTTGTGAATTTTTACGAAAATAGAAAAAAGTGAATTTCCTGTGCTGATTGAGCATTACGATCCCAAATCCACGAATTGGGATACGAACTGCTACCCTATCCAGCATATTCTCCAGATTTAGCCCCCTGCGATTATTTTCTGTTTCCAAACCTAAAGAAATGGCGAAATTCATTGGACTCTCATTAAGTGAGATATTTAGTATGATCAATTTAGGTATATTTTGTCATATCTTACTATTCAAGGACGTATTGGAGTCATCAAAAATAATATTCTCAACTTGGAAATGATTGGTTTAATTGCTTGAACTATAATTAATACTTCTGCATCATCTATACAAAAATAATAAAATAAAATAAATGCAATTTGAATAATTAAAAATTAAATAAAAAAAAATTATTCACGCTTCTTAGAATTTTTTCTAATTTTCGAAAAATTATTTTTTTTTTTCATTTCTATTCAATGCATTGCGTGGCAAAAATTACTCATTTATGTGTGAATATAAAGTTTATTTATGGACACATTTATTTTATACGCCAGGCCCATTTCACTTGTACGAATGGTCCCGGAGCAGCTCAACTCGTCTATTCCCATGTGCTTTATTAGTTGAAAAAAAAAATTAAATTAAAAATTACATTTTTATTTCTTGTAATATTATGACCTCATAAAAATGCGTTTAAGTTCTTAAAATTAAAATTTATTTTCTTGTAAAATTTTTAAGATGGTTGAATTTGAACTTTAAATTCACAAAAGATGTTAAAGAAATTTTCTCAAATTTTTTTTTCTATTTAAATTGAATACTTCAGATTGGACACATATCTCATGCTTGTCATATTAAGTTCACATAATTATTTTGTTTTTATTGAATCGATTTTTAAATAATTTCAAAAATTTGACTGATGTGATTTGAACACCTAATGCCATTGAAGGCTGTATCACAAGTGTGGTCTACAGGTATTTTGACGTATTTTTTTGTAACATAAAATGAAAAAAACAATAAATTGTTTAATAAAGCAGCTTATTTGTAACAAACAAAGAATTTAAAATTTTTTTTTTTAATTTTCATATTTTACAATATTATAATTAATACGATTTTACGCTTAAATTAACTTTTTATTAATCGAAATTGATACTGTTTGAAGGAAATGGCTTAAAAACTCGGTCTTTTCATTTTTATTATCAAATTTGATATTGACCTATGGAAATATTATATGCGACCCTCGTAGTAATTAATTAATTTTTTTTTGTTAATATTTTTTTGTTAATACACATTGTCAATTTAACAATTAATAATTATAATAATTTTTGAGACTTTAATCTCACTTTGTAATTTTACGATTTTAATCATTTTTGATTCTATAAAATATATAAAAGTATTTATTTAAATTAATTTAAATAATAAAATTTTGAAAAGTCACATAGTTGCTATATCAAAAACTAATTTAGAATATATTTTTAAAGTTTTTTATATTATATTTTTTAATAAAGCTGTAATAAATATTAATACTTTATTAGAAGATATAATATTTTCCATTTTGTCTTTTTATTAATATCTAATTAAACATGATATTTTAACTGTTTTTAATTAGTTAAATGCATTATATATAATACCTATTGCTTACTATTATTAAGCTTAATTGAGTTAATGTTGTTAAATAAATAATTTATTTTTAATTACATATTGCTTACTAATATTAAGCTAAACGAAGCTTAAAGTATTATATATGTAAATCAGTTAGAAATTCATATAGAATAAATTGGATTAAATACTTAAATCAAAACAGGGACTTTGCATTACAAGTTGATGTATATTTCCTGTATCAATTTCCTTCAAAGTCAGCTAAATCAAGTTTAATATTTAAAGCATGTAGAAGTATTAATCACTGATTACATTTATAATGATATTAATAGTTTTTAGATAAATAGGTTTATTATCTCTATAATAAGGCCAGACTTATTGTTATTGGTTCATGTTAGTCCGATCGATTGAATTTTAGTTATAACTGTTTCAAAAACTAAAGACTTTAATATATATATACAATTTCATGAGAAACATATATAGCAATCAGTTTTTAATATTTATTTACTCATATTTAAATGTCATTAGATAATCCATAATCAACATGAAGTATAAATAATTTATTTATATATAGATATAGCTAATATTATGGATATATATATATAAATTTTTATAAGAGATCTATATATTATATAATTAAATATATTTCACGATTTACCTCGGTATATATTTGATCAAAACGACTACTGCTTTGAAGCAGTTTTGATGTGCTAGTGTACATATACCATATATAATATAAACTGGGCCCTGGCAATAAAATGCGATAGGATATATAGAATAAATCACATGCTTCACAACGATCAAATATTGTGCCAATTAACGTCCCATTGGAATAATTATGCCGATATATTAAAGTTATATGTTCAGATGTACATCTCTCTCGCACTCCACATCAATTGAAAGCATATTGTGCTACACTTTTCTAATTAAGTTAAGGTAATCATAGCCACACTATCCGCTTTAGGGACCACCCGTTCCAGATAACTAGTTATGGGAACTGGATCCTGGTGGCCAGATTTTATCTCTGATTAAAACCCACTTGCTATAAGTCATACTCCAAATCAGTATAAGAAGGTATAAAGAAGGTATTTAATTCCAATCCCAAAGAAGAAACTAAAATATATCCTTATATAATATATAAGTCTTTATCTATTCACAAATTTACTTTCATTTAAAAGGCTTAATGTGTTTGCTCTACTAGAAGCATATAAATCTTTTGATTCTAAATTTATATGCTAAAATTGTTACTAACAATTTTTATTTTGTTATATAGCCATCAACATGAACATAAGTTTTCAATCATTTATCACTACGTAAAAATATAATTGCAAATTTGTAGAAAAAGTTGATGTTATAAATCATTCTCTGAGTATCTATCAACAGAGTAACAACAAACATATGTTTATATTTAAAATTAATTAAACACGTTCAAAAAAATGTGAGTATCTTTAAATAAGTGCATCAAAAAAGTTTTGTATTATCTTTAAAACGATTTCCTTTAAATAATAAGAATGAGCAAAAGCAGTAGGTAATGTGTATTTAATCATCAGTTGAAGATATTGCATCTACAAAATACGTTAACTACTATGCCAATTTAAATAATTTATAGCTTTTTCGACTCGTGATATTCAATTCGAAAAAGAACAAAGGAAGCCTAACTGCTCAATCCCAATTTGGTAAAAATTTCAAACTTCCGCATAAGTGATTTAACACTTTTGTTCGCAGCAATAAATTTTTCGATTAAGTGATGCATTGCAGCACTCAACATTTGCATTTGCAACAAAAGAACGAAAGCGATTTACATTATTGCACAATTATTCGATATTAATTATTTGCAACATGCAATTTTTAAACAGGCTGTCTTGTTCA